ATGTTTTTCTGAATTTTAATCTAAGTTTCAACTTTCTCAACTACGTTCTTTGCCCCCAAATATTTAGTGTTGAGAACGAGACATGGATTTTAATCTTTAGCGACTGAACGCAAAATTCCTCGGCTTTCAAACTTGAAAGTATTCGAAATTGAACTCTACTGTGTTTTCATTTAAACGTGAAGGAAAATTTCGATTTCAAAGTAAACCATTTCAGCTTAAATAAAGGTGAGTTTAATGAAGCACTTTTGCTCTTTGAAAATGCAACAATACAGTTCTTTTGCATTTATGCCGCTTTTCTAAATGAGTTTTTTCTGAAAGTGTTCTCTTCTCGGGTGGAAAATTTATTAAAACCTAAAATATTACAATGTGTTATTTGTATCAAATAAATTTACTATACAATAATGGGGCACTTATCGCTCATGATGTCATTGAGCTAATACACACATTCAATCATGTTTCGCTTTTGTGTCATTTCTCTCTGCAAAAATCAACATGTTGTATGTTATTGTTATAACAGGCTTATTTTCGCACAATACAATGGAGGCGGGCTTAAGAGTCGCATAAATGTGTTCGTTTTATGTTTTGCTAAGTCACTGATTTGTTTTGGTTTTGAATGCTGCACAGCTAATATTTAATCGAATCAATGAATTCATTCATAAAACGCTTTGTTTAATATCAAAACAAACCTTTGCATTTGCAGAGTAATAGTAGAAAATGATGAAAAACATTTGTTTTTCAGATTGGAGAAGTGCAAAGAAACAACAAGCGTTTAAAGCACCGAAAGCTCGTATTGTATAATGTCTAAATTTTAGCATAATTGATGCCGAACCATTTTTCATAACATCAATCAATGTGATCTTAAAAGCAAATTAATCAGTGGAGGATTGAAATGTCCAATGTTCCATTAAAAATGTATTGGTCTAAAATTAATCCTTTGCAATAACAATAATGGATTAAGATGATTGGAAAGTGGGATTTATTATCTTAGGCGATTGTCTTCAATGGATGACTTTCGACAATCCCTTTAAGCCGACAAATTTAATGCCAATCGCCAATAATTTCAAGTGCATTTTCAAGCAAACTATTAATAGATGATTATTTAAGGTATTTGAAATGTTTTGTTTTGGATTTTCGTTACTCATATCTACGTTCAAGAGTCATTTTATTAGTTTCTTTTTTATAAATTCGCGTTTCAAACATAGCTTTGACAGTAATTTGAAAAGTTAACTCTAAATAATGAGACCAAAAAACGATATCTGAACTTAGACACGAAATATGGACAATTTATTTTAAATCTTAGACAACCAAAGTTAGGCAACGGTAAAGGTGGTTTTCTCGCCTCGAACAATTCTTTTGCAAGCCACCTCTGAAGATGCAGGCTGGTTGTGCTTGCAAAACATCGGGT